TAGTTGAATCAAGCCTATATACAAATAAATTTGACAAAATTTCTAGATCTGTTCCAAATATAACCTTAGTATTAAATCAGAGTTCATTCTTAATCTAGAATATGCCGATTCATTTGGCCTTTGTTTTGGACATTGATGGAAATTTGGTGTACTGATACTGGTATGGTTTTCCCTGTTAGTTTCGGACATTGGATTCTGAAAACTGAAGGAAATGGGTCACTCAATCATCGGTCTGTGAATTGCATCGTGTTTCTCTACACTTTTACATCTGCAGGGCTGTTGGATTACCAAATTTTTTTCTTTGATTTCTGTACAAGCTTAGTTGCTACTTAAAATATTTGATTATTTTTAGAGCGAATTGACTCATAGTTTTGAAATCTAAACAACCCAACAATCAGGAATTCTGTTAAATGCTTGTTTGGATAACTTCGAGAACATGCAGTAGTTACCCTGGTTTAGGTTGTTTAACCCTAACCCTTTTTGGCTCTGTTCTGGACCTCCACCAACAACACCATGAACGGCAAGGGAGAGTGCAGTTCCAGATATGTTCAAAAGGCAAGAGAATGATTGGGGGGAGGGAATAGGAGAATTAGACAAATTTTGCTGAGACGACATGTTGGTGTCTGCTAGTGGTTGATTTGGCAAGTGACTGATGGGGCAGACTCAAAACATCCTTTCTGGTCCCATTAAAACACCTCTCATACTGTATCAACAACAGTCCTCTGTCTTCATGTTTTCATGAATGGATCCAGTAACAAGTTCTTTTCTTTTTTGAGAAAAATTTTAAAGGGAAATAAATTCCTTCTAATTGTTTGGCTCAAGTATTATTTCAAAAAATTCAGACCCAGTTCAATGGCTTGTTAAACAATCAGGAGAAATTTCAGAATTAAAAAAAAAAAACAGAGATGATGGTGGGTTGCAAATTGGAGGGATTAAAATGGACCACATGAGAAGCACACATCAAGTCTCTTAAGCTTGGTAGGATTTGCTTTCAGGGAGATATGAGAATATTATTATAATGATAAGTAACAGCTAAGCTTTTGACACAGACATGCAGCTCTTGTCTAATTCACTTTAATTCTCCTATTCAATATTAATTTTTCTTTTTTTTTGGTTTTTTGAAGAAAAAGCTTACAAGTAATTCACATAACATAAACTATTTTGAAATTTGAGATAAAATATGAATGTCTCTGTGATGGAGATGAAACCCATCTGTCTGAGTTTTAATTATGGATTATGAGTGGGATTGCATCTAGGGCACATGGGAAGCTACAGTATAAAGAAGTCAACCTCATTAATGGATGGCTTTGGTTTAGTTCAGGATTAAGAAAACATCAAATTAAATTTGTTTTTCTTTGTTTACTTTTTAAGAAAAAAAAAAAAAAAAAAATTCCAATTCACACTTCATGTCTCTTTTCATCAGGAAAATCTTAAAGAAATTTGGTAAGAATTGGGTTCGTACTTGAGAAAATTCAAACTTCAAGAAAAAAAGAAAATCAAATTAGACTTAACCAGTTCTGTTCATCCATCTACTTTTATCTTTTTCTTGAGAGTGATCCAGATATTTGCAAAATTTCTATTTGGGTTTCGAAGTATTACCCAAACCCAGTTATTTTTTCTTTCTTTTTTCTGTTTCTCCTGAATAGCTAAAACCAAATGGTAAATATGTGCATGCATGGTGATTGCAGACAGTGTCTGCATTTCACCTTATCAAGATAAAATGGCAGTAAATATTTCCATCTTTTTAGATATGATCTTATCAGATTCCTTATCCAATATATATATATATATACACATATACATATATATACAGACAGACATCACAGCTTTTAATGAATCGCAGTATTACCTACTACACACAACCTTAACAACCTCCTCTCTTTTTTTTCCCCCTTTTTTCACCCTCTTCCCCATGTTTTTGGCTTTACTTTTTTTACAGTGTTTTCCCAGCAAGAAAAATGTCAAAAAAGAGAATTATTTGTAAGCTATACATGATTAGAGGCAAAGCCAAACGCACCCTATAGGAGAAATTCAATTGCAACAGTCCATGAACTTGGTTGAAACTATAACATGAAACAATGTCTATTGAAGAAAAAACACATTCTATGAATACCTTTCCGGACCTGTTTTCCATCACTGTCTATGATATCCTATATATAACTTGAGATTTTGGTCTATTACAATTAACAACCTCACGTATAAATCAAGGAAACCCTAAAAGAAGAATCCTGACAGATTGCTGCAATCCATGCACACACATCAGAAGCATTTATGACATGGGAGAAAGAAGAAAACATGAAAAAGAAAAACCCAAGAAAGGTAATAAACCTTGTCTCTAGTAGCAAAAAATGTAGATAAAACCCAGAATGCTAAACTGCTTGTTCTGTAAAGAGGTACTGTTGTTATTAGCATTCCTTCCTCTTCTGTCAAATGGAAATAACAGTAAGGAAGTCTTTTTCAATTTGCTCAACACAGAAATCCATTGAATTCGTCATATTCAATGCATTATAAGGGAGGTTTAGAGGGCATTGAAGCCCGGATTTTGCTGTAGTGTGCCTACTACAGTTTGTTCTCAATGTCATAGGCATCAAAGTTGCCTTAAATCCTGTGACTTTAAGGGCAAACTATATTGACATATGATGATGCTTCATGACACTTCTAAAAAGCATCCATTTTGTCTCACAGTTTTTGAATCATCACAAGCTTGACCAACACCAAAACAATAAAAGCATTTATGTTTAAATTTAGTGGGATCTATAGAAATAATGGAAACGAATCCTCTACTCCCAAAATATAATCCCATAGTTAAAAAAAAAAATCTAGTTGGGATCATAACAAAGCAACGGTTGACCAACAGAACAAGTTTTATTTGTTTCTCATTGTAAATATATTGACCTTATGAAAGAAAAAAGTATGCAACCCCAGCACCTCACATTGACCCACCATGCCATTATTAAGTGAATCATCAAGGACTGTTCAGCTTGATGGACTTTGAGTATTTGGCCTTACTTTATGTTACAAAGTTATAATGACAACAATCCGCTAATTCATGGCACATCATCAATCTGATTTCACTTTCAGCATGCATGTCTTCTTTCCCCTACTTCTCGGATGACCATGCAACAAGCCCTAAAGGAGAGCATATGAATCTTTATCAAAAATAAAGCATAGCATATGAACCGAGGAAAAGCACGAGACAAAAGGAACTATGCTCATCAAAGTAAAGCAGTTAAAGAACATAGTATAGAGTTGTGTTTCTGCACCCATTATGATATTATCGTTCATAATTCATAACTAGTTCAACAAAGTAACAACATGACACGTCGTCAAGTAGAACTTGATCTGTTAATCCTGCATTGAAAAGTTAGATTCTCCAAATAGTCATTCATGGCTGATAAAGTAAACCACTCAGCGTGCTCTAGCAACATAAGCAATAGATATGGCAGCAAAAATAGTTGTTGCTGATGATACCACAGTCCAAAAGCTCTTTTTCTTATGTGCATCTGCCACACAATTCTGCAAAAGCCCAACTTGCTGCTTCATGTCCTCAACCATCGTTTCTTTATGCCTGAATGCTTTCTTGATTGCCTCTAACTCAGATGCATATTGTTCAGTTTCATTTTCAAGCTTTCTTTCGCCAGTAACCACATTGTCCTTGTAATCACAATCACCTCCAGATTGGCACAAAACAGCTGCAGTGTTCTTCAGCATGGTGAGAGCTTGCTCTGAGTTCATTCCAACTGATTCCAATTTAGCCCTTAATTTGTTAAGGGCTTGTTTTGCCTCTGAAAGCTCCTTTTGCACAGAATCTTTATCCTTCCTCAACAATTTATAACGAGACTCCAGCTCCTTCTTCTCTTCCAGTACAGTCTCGCACTCACTTCTAACCCGTGCTAACTCCTTGCTGGTTTCTTCAATCCTTTTTTCCATTCCAGAAACTTTCGCTGATAGCTTCATTTGCATGGAATCTTTTTCCTTCTTCAGCAATTCAAAACAAGACTCCAGTTCCTTCTTCCCTTCAGACACACTCTCGCGCTGACCTCTAACCCGTGCCAACTCTTTTCTAGTTTCTTCAATAATCTTTTCCATTTCAGAAACTTTTGCTGATAGCTTCATTTGCGCGGAATCTTTTTCCTTTCTCAACAAGTCAAAATGAGACTCCAGTTCCTTCTTCCCTTCAAATACACATTCTTGCTCACTTCTAACCCGTGCCAACTCTTTTCTGCTTTCTTCAACCCTCTTTTCCATTTCATAAACTTTTGCTGATAGCTTCATTTGCATGGAATCTTTTTCCTTCCTCAGCAACTCAAAACGAAACTCCAGTTCCTTCTTCTCTTCAAACACATTCTTGCACTCACTTCTACGCTCTGCTAACTCCTTTCTAGTTTCTTCAATCATCTTTTCCATTTCAGAAACTTTTGCTGATAGCTTCATTTGCATGGAATCTTTTTCCTCTCTCAACAATTCAAAGCGAGACTCCAGTTCCTTCTTTTCTCCAAATAAATTCTCGCACTCACTTCTAACCCGTGCTAATTCTTTTTTGGTTCCTTCAGTACTCTTTTCAATTTCAGAAACTCTTGCCGATAGCTTCATTTGCATGGAATCTTTTTCCTTCTTCAACAATTCAAAGTGACGCTCCATTCCCTTCTTCTCTTCAAAGACAATGTCGTGCTCACTTTTAACCCGTGCCAACTCATTTCTAGTTTCTTCAATCTTCTTTTCCACTTCGGAAACTTCTGACATTAGCTTCAAGCCATTCTTTCTCTCCTCATCAACACTCTTTAAAGCATCAACCTTTTCAATTGTAACTCGATCAAAAGCATCTTTGAAATGACCAACTTCAGATTTTAACTGTTTGTTCTGCTCCTCTTGATTCTGACATGATTCCTGCAATCTTATGACAACGTCCCTCAGCTGACCCACCTCTCCATGCAGCTCGGCAACCTCATTCTCTGTGCAGAGTTTGAGCCCTTCAAGCTCATTCTTTTCTCTAGACAAATCCTCAATTAAACGTGCTTTTTCATCAGATTCCGTCTTAGTCATCTCCAAGTCTTTAGTCATACAATCCATTTGTTCTACTAACTTTGCAATACAGCTTTCCATCTCTCTCTTTTCTTCCATCAATGCGTTTATCTCTGTTGTCATATCCTGTTGCTTCTCCATGCCCTCACCCCAACTCTTCTCCAACTCGAATACCTTTCCGCTCAACATTTCCTCTTCCTTCCTGGAATTCAGCAAAATCTCATTCAGTGTCCTCAGTTCCTTCTCCAAGTCATTGATTGTGAGTTTTTGTGCGTCATTCTCCATTTGAATCTTCTCCTTCTCCCTTGCAATTCCTTCGATCTCCCCATGTAAATCCTGAATTTCCTTCAATTTCTCCTCCAAGTTCATCTCGAGCTTATCTTTTTCCCTCCTGACCAGTTCTATCACATTATCATTATCTTCCTTTCTCTCCAGAAGCTCATTTTTCTCTCTAGACAAATCCTCAATCAACAGTTCTTTTTCATCAGATTCCATCTTAGTCATCTCCAACTCTTTAGTTATACAACTTGTTTGTTCTATCAACTTCTTGATACGGCTTTCCATCTCTCTCTTTTCTTCCATCAATGGATTTATCTCCGTTGCCATATCCTGTTGCTTCTCCGTGCCCTCACCCCAACTCTTCTCCAACTC